TTCAGTTTTAAATTCTCTGTAGCTTATCTGACCTGGTATACACCTGATGAAGGTTGAAGGACACAACAACTCTAACACTGTGATAACAACAACAAAGAGGAAGACATTAGTCTATATATAAATAATGTAAATAAGTATATATTCAATTAACATAGTATTCTGAATACCTGAGCAAATTATTATTTTTATTATTTTACATGTTAATATGGACTTTTTGATATTCTATAACCTTCATTAATCTTTTATTCATTAATTTTCTTAACTTTTCTTCTGTTTGGTCATAACATGACTTGCATAAGTTTTTATTGCTTCCTAGAGATCTTTGCTTGAATGTTGTTTTCCTTTTTCTGATGTGTCCCTTTTTATGATAGGCTACAACTTTTCTATTTGGGCACTATCTAGAGAGATTGGAATATGTTCCATTAATCTGATGTCTTTGAAATCTTTTCTGGAAAGTCAGCATTGCAGAATGTGAAGGAGCATTGTCTTGCATGAATATGCTCTTTAGATTCTTGATTGTGCCACTAAGAAAATATCTTTTTCAAATAACTTATAAGAATTCTCTGTATTTATTTTAGTCCAACCAGCATCAAATTTTGATAGGTTGTATAATTTTACTGCCTACTTTGCTAAATAGCCCCAAACATCACTCTATCTCTTTTCTGTTGTCTTCTGAATTGTATTCATTGTCTATTTTCATGATAGACCAAACCTCAAGCCAGCCATCAGATTAGGTTAGGTTTGGTTGATTTGACAACATATCATCTTCATTGGATTATTTAATGTTGTCTTTTTGTATAGAGCACCCAATGAATATTGGACTCACTATTCAATAGAATTGGCTAACCAGATAAGCCTCATTAACCATTACCTCATGCTGAAGTGACTTCAGACATCAGGTACAGCCGATGGAGCTCTACATTCATCACTAAAATTGTTGAAAAACCATTTTTCATGTAATTCTTTGGTTCTAACTTGGTTTTCTATGTGTTGTTTGCTTAAATGTGTGCTTTCATGTCTTTATTCTTAATATATGCATATTTCTTAATATACAAACAGATATGAAAAGATATGTATAAACATAAGTGTATGCATTTGAGTGTATTCATAGGTATATGCATATATTTGCTTAGCAACAAATATTTACATTAGAAGTGCACAAATAAATATATGTGCATAGATGCATACACAGGTATATATGCATATATATCCACACACACTATTTATTTCATTATATTTACCAAAAACTACTTTCTTCTTTAAAAGTTGATGAGTGTATTTTTGTATTGTTTGAGAATAAATGAAAGATTAAAAAAAGGAACTGAAATCATTAGGTCAGGCCATTTCTGACATAGCTGGTTATAATATTAGCAGACATAGAGTTTTGAAAATGATTGTAGCAGTAACATGTAATGCTGGATTTTCTCTCATCTGAAATAATGTTCTTTTTGAATGAGAGAACACTGCTGATGCAAACATAATGCATACATGTGTGTGTGTGTGTGTGTGTGTGTGTGTGTGTGTGTGTGTGTGAATGTACAATATGTCTGGTGGTGCCTGACTGGCTGGCTGACAGGATGGTTATGAGTGACTGAATGCATGTATCTGGCTGGATGGCTGTCATCTGTTTAACTCAGTTTGTATTATGAGAATCTCTTATAGAACACTTCTCATCCAATTAGCAATAGCCATTCACTTGACAAGAATGTGTTATTCCAAGCAGTAACCCCCAATTCCATTTTGGAAACATTTTTGGAAAAAAAGTATACTTTGAACAAAATAAATCAATTTTGGAATTAATTCATTCACAATTCTTTGAATAGCAATCATGGCAAGGCATTGCATGGGCTCTGAATAATGTGAATTGCTGTTGTGGGAACATTTCTCTGTTTGAAGTAAATATAAGGAAACCTTTTGTAAAACAAAAAAAGTGAGAGAGAATAGGTACTATAGCCAAGTCGGATACTGGAAAAGATATTTTTAATTATTTTAGTCTATTAAAAATTTTAATGCAAAAACATACATGGTTAAGGTATGTTTTTATTTATTAAAGTAAGAAAAGATTATAAGTTAAGTAAAACAAAATGATTCAAATCCAGTTTTCATGAAAACCAGCAAACTCATAGGAAAGTATGAACATTTTAGCAAAATACTAAAATATATTTTATATATACTTTATCAATCAAAGTGTTTAGATTATTGCTTATAATTACTTTTAAAATTGTATAAATCTACTTTCTGTGGTATGAATTTCAGATAATACTATAATGTTGTGCCTAATACTAATTCATTACATGTAGGTAAATTGATTAATTATTTAATTCTGATAAATTTACAAAATATGAATTATTTAAGGTAGTGTCTATAGAAAATAAGTTTAAGATTGTAAGTTCTTGAAAATAATGGTTCCTTAAAAGCATTTGTTATCATATCATGTATGGTATTTGTTTCTTATATTATAATAATATTTGTATAAATAATTTAAAGAAGCATCAATTGTATTAAAACATCTCAAATGATTTCAATTAGCCACCATACTTTCTAGTGCTGATAACTTCTGACAATTGCACATACGTTTTCCCTCTTATCTAAATTCAGATTCCTATTGAATAAAGTAGAACACCTGTCAGCCATTGTCTGTCAGGCTTGAAGGTGATTGTAATCTTGGATAAATGAAAAATAAATATGGATATGTGATTTCAGTCACGGAAAATACAGTCAATATAAAAATTATCTTTATTTGGCTGTCATATAAGATGTTGATGGGGCATATAGCTAAGGAGTAGCAATTAGTCAGTCAGCCAATTCTGCAAACTATTACTTCTCTAATGAGTTAAATCCTCTTTGAGTGCTCCAAAATAGTAAATAACTATATATATTTTATGTGCTAAAAACATATACGAAATTCATTTTAGTTTCAATCTATAAGTGCAGTTCATTCAAGACGGGAAAGCAGCCAAACTACCACTTTAAGCAAATATTACAATGTGAACAAGAAAATAATACAGGAAAATGATTTCTCAGTAATTTTAGAGTTGAATATAGAGCTATATTGGATGTACCTGATGTCTAGGCCAGAGGTTTGGTCATTTATGAAAATAGTCAACTGATCTGACTTAGAAGATATCAGTGAGAAGGTGTAGTTTTGGGATATTTAGTATTGTAGGCAGTAAAATTATATTTCCTTTTAAGGTTGATGATAATGGTGGCCAATTAAATACAGAGAATTATTATAAATTCTTGAACAAAACATTTTTGGAGTGGGAAAGTATCTTTAAGCTAAAGAGCATATTCATGCAAGACAATACTCCTTTTACAAATCTTACTATAGCCCACACTTACAGAAAAAGTTTCAAATACATCAGATTAATAGAATAGCTCCCAGCCTCTCTAGATATTACTTGTAGGTAATCATTTAAAGAGACATGAAAGGAAATGGAAAAAAACATTCAAGCAAAAATCTCTAGGAAGCAATAAAAACTGATGCAAGCAATGTTAAGAAGAAAATTAATGAATAAAAGATTAATGAAGGTTATAGAATATCAAAAAGCCCATATTAACATGTAAAATAATAGAAATAATTTGTTCAGGTACTTTTGATATTGTGTTAATCAAATATGTTTTTTATGACCCATATTTTTTTATAAGTTATATTTAATTTGTTTGCATGACTCTCCTCAAAGAAGTTAATATCAACGTTTTAGTAAGGTTAGACATAATAAACTGAAAAAGCACATGGTATATTTGCTCTTATAAATATAAGTATATCCTAATAAATGACCTCCTTTGGTTGGTTCATGCCAATTTTAATGTGAAAGCATTGTCTTCAATTTTAAAGTCTCAGAGATTAATTTAAAATCAGTTGTTTTGGATACCTAATCTTAGCCCTAATCTTTTATTTTGCCAACTTTCATATATTAATGTACCCCTTTCTTCTAAACTATTTTTTAAATCCCATTTCCTTTTAGGACATAGGCAATCATGGCTTTCCAGAGATTCCCTTTTCTTTATTATCTGCAGATTGCCATGATTTCTTGAGAAAGACTATGGAATGATTTCCTTTTACCTTTTGAATTCAGAATAATTTTTCCCTTATGCTGGTTGTCATGCAAGTTTAGAGTGTCCAATCAACTGGGGGGAGAATTCATGAATTTGTCAAAAGCATTTGTGGGAATTTCATTCCAACAGACTAGGCTGGAATGAGAAATCAGTTCATTGATTGACATTTTACACTGACAATTACTATGCTACTTGCACATACACTTTACTGTTATTTAGCAATATAATTAAATTTGTTGTTTTTTCATTCTGATTATTTTGAATTCTTAAGAAATATATCTGAAATTAAATGGTTATTTACTAAGCTTAGCTTAATTTGACACAAAGTAGGGAACAAAGAGAGGACTGTATTTACTATAGTAGTGAATAGTTTGTGAGTCAATTTTTTTAACTATTATCATATGGTAGGTACTTAATATGAAATTAAATATTATTATTTTTATTCACATAATATCTTCCCATGGCATTATTATAAATATTTGCAACATGGAATAAAAATATTGTTTGCAACTGAAGCAGAGTTATTAATAGTCTCCTTGCTGTATTAGTTGCTATTGCTTAAAGAAACTGTTTGACAATTCATCTGTAGGTTATAAATTGTTGTGATTGCAATAGACAAAAGATGCAAGTGACAAAATAACCTGGAGATTAGAGACAAGCATAATACTTGGAATTAGTCTAAAGTATAAAACTTATCATGGCCACCAACCTAAACCATTCCACAGATAATACATATCAGATAAATAATGCATACCTGATATACAAGTGATTCATTCTAGATAATTAATGTGACTCAATATTCCTGCATTTGGCTATCATTACAACAGGTAGATTTATGTTTATGCCACTCAGTGTATTAATGCCTTGGAGGTTATGCAATGATAAATTGAGAATTTGTGCAGCCATTTATAACACAGCTTGGGATTTAGTTCTAAACCAAGATGCATGTGTTGATTTACAAGTATTTACTTTCATTTACTTCTATCTATCTATCTATCTATCTATCTATCTATCTATCTATCTATCTATCTATCTATCAACACCCAGACACTTCAGTGCACCTTAGTCTGTTTCACATATATATGTGCATTAGGAGAAGTTGCTCCATCTGCTATTACTAGCAGAGATCTATAATTCTGTCTCACACAGTCCACAGTTGCATTCACCGTAGCAGAACAAGTCTCAATCAATAGGGATTAGTAAATCAATAAATATTAATGGTTAGAATCACCAAACCCTATCACAGATACATTGGCATGTAAATACATACATCTGCCATGTGCTTTAGTCAAGACCTTGACACTACTCTTTATAATATTTTTGCAACTGTTATTTCAACAAATTTTATTTCATATATTTGTAGAGGGCATGAATTGTGGCTCAATAGGTAATTTTGTTTCAGCCAGGTGAATTGAATTCTCTCTTGAGTTGACAATTTCATAAAATATTGAATATTCATGATATCCACTATATTGAGTTTAGTATGACACTGGGCTAAATAGGAACAATGATCTATAAAGATTGTGTTGTGATAATCTTCCAGGTATGTGTACCATGAAAATTAACATTTAAAGTCTTGTTTTCAATCTGGGTTTGAAGCCTAGCATTTTTGTTTTTTTAATCATTTCACCCCAAGCAAGAAAATAAAGCCACTAGGACATAAAAGGTTACTGAGCATTAGAGAATATGAGAAAAACTACTATTAAGGAGAGAGATCAAGAATAATAATTAAGAAGACATTGTATTTTAATTTTTGAAGATCAAAGTTGACTGGGAAGTAAGAAGGTGGAAGAGAGTTCTACAAGTGAATGTGATAGAAGAAACTGTTAGCATAGAAATTATGGTTACATTTAGCCATTTCAAATGTAAATTGATGAGACCTTGCCAGTAATCTAGTACCACACTTAAATTCATAAAGTCTAGGTACCACAGTGGAAAGTTCATCAAAACAATTACCATGAAACTATTTATGGAAAAGACACAGTGAAGCTACATCATGGTAGTGAGAAAGGGAGTGAAGCTGAGATGCTAGGTTAGGACCAATAACATTGCAGATTCTTCTTTAGATCTTACCAAGAATCTCTAAATATATAGCAGAAGCACCAGATCAGATATGGAAGAAATATTCAAAGTAGAGATGAATAGTAGACTTATAAATATGTAAGACAGATTATGGTAAGAAAATTGTCTAGCATGACACAGTGAACCAACTTTCTTAGCTGATTCAATATACTCTTTCCATTTCATGTCAGCTGAAAATGTTTGTCTGAGGATGTGCAATGAGTCATTCTTCTCAAGGTTAGTATCAGACATGCTGATGGAATGTAAGAGGGTCCTCTCAAATGGTTAAAAGAGAGCAGTTTCATTTTTGAGGCGTTAAAATTTAACAAGCCACTCCTTGCTCCATTTAACAACAGATTGTAGGTCATTTTTGAGATCAGCTGCCAATTTAACATTATCAGACTTGCTATTAAGACAGGAGTGAATAGTAGTGTCATCAGCATAGATACCGAGTTGAGAACTGATGACACCAGGAAGGTCATTTATGAACATTAGAAACAACGTAGGTCCCACGCAGGTCTGGGGAACACCAGCATGTATGCAATAAATATCTAGAAGAGTGGCCATTAAAGACAACTTTCATAAGACTGAATCAGTTCAAAAGTTCATTCAGAAATACCATAACCTTTCAACTTATGAAGAAGACTAGTATTCGAAACCCTGCCAAATGCCTTCGAGATAACCAAAGCAACAGTCCTAGTTTCACCATTTTTATCTTAAGCTTAACAGACTCTTTCAGCAATAATCGTTAACACATAATTAGTTGACCCAGGGAAATATAGCCATATTGCTTATCTGAAAGAAGACCCTGCGATGTGAGATGCTTAACCAATTCAGAATTAATTAGAACCTGTAGTACTTTGCCAAAAAGAAGTAGCAGGCTAATAGACCAACAGTTAGAATAGCTAAATAGATGTCGCCTGAGTTCTTAGAGACTAGAACTGCAGAAGAGGTTTTCCAACAAGCAGGAAAACAAAAAGCAGCAAGACATTTATTGTAGTGTTTAGTGAGAACAGGAGACAGTTCAGTAGCACATTTCTTAAGGACTCTTGCAGTGATACCATCAAGTCAATATGCTTTGTGAAGATACCGTTAGGAAATAATAGCATAAACCATGCACGGAGTTATATGCATGTCACTCAATAAAGACTCAGTTCTAAGTGGAAAGTCAAGCAAAGGGGCCCCAGATGAGTCAAGAGTAGAATTTAAAGATAATTTATGAGCAAACCATTCTGCTTTATCAGCAGAAGAGGGATAGAAGACCTCTTATTTAACACACTATTACAGAGCCGCCAGTAGTCCCGTGGACCAATCTCATTAGAGGTTATAGGGTGCCTCATTCTATTAACAAAGACTTCAAAGGTTCCTTCTTAATAGTTGACTTAAAAGAAATATCAATAGATATTAAAGCGTGATCCGAATTGTCAAGAGAACTGAGTTGTGATGGCCTACAGGAGTTAGGAGAGAAAGTAAGGAACAAGTTAAGTAAAGAAGAATGTTGAATAGATTTATTCGAGAAACGAGTAGGGAAATCCACTATTTGACGGAAAGACTGGGCAATGGGAAAATTGGTAAACATAGTTAAGTGGAACGTACAGAACATTGTTGACCATGAGTCAGGTTGCAAGTTTCCGGTATTTATGCATAAGCTTATGTAAATGATTGTGTTGCCTTTCTGATAAACAGGTAAATTTTTAATCAGTTATGGTTTTTATAAATATAGTAGATTTGACGAGTTTTAATAGAAGACATCTAGGATTGGCGATTGCAAATTATAATCCATATCTGGTGCAGTTCATTTGTTCCAATGTAAATGCACAAAGCTCAAGTGTATATAGCATATTTATTGGTATTTAATGTATGAGGTAAAAGGACATTTACTGAGATCATCATTCTAGATTTATATAAAGCTCTAGCCTACCATACAAAATAACAATGCATTGGATATATTTGTATATTTTCAAATAAAATAAAATACTATATATATATAATTGTAAAGTGCCTGCCCAGTGGTGATAGTAGTTGCATATTTTCAGTGACTTCATTGATTAGTGTTTACACAAATAAAAAACAGTATATCGAGTATCAGTTTTCATTGTAAGATAGTCCTCCTTATTTGGTATATGGGCGCAAAACAATGTCTCTACCTCATTCAGCCCAACTAGACCTGTATTTTACTAACCTATACTTAGTAAATAACAACAATGATTATAAAATCATGAGAACAACACTAACCTAAGAAATAATTTCAAGGTAGCATAGACACTTATAATGAGAAAAAAAAACTTGCAAAAGCAGTAAACATCAAACTTTATTTCTTCTCAATACATTACAAAAAAGTAAGAATCATTAATGCAAGAATAAATCTGTCAAATTGATGTCAACTGACAGATGAGAAACATGTAACATTGGCTAGCTGCAGTCTAGCTGACAAGATAAAAGAAAAAAGAAAAGGTTATGGAGGGTTGATTTGTTAGGTAATTTATTTTGTAATGTTTTTAACTTAGTACGTTTGAATAGATTTACAATATTATGAATTGATATTGAGTGTTGCAGTGTTAAGTCTGCAAACAAGTCTTGTAAATCTATTTATCTTATATTTAATAGGAGTAGATAGATTCGCCTATCGTCCGGTTCACACTTCTCTACGGTCTTTTGAACAGACCTAGTGGTTTATCATTTGTTGCCTGTTTAGGATTTAGTTTCCGGTTCCTTTTAAAGTCTTTTCAGTCTCTTTCACTCCCTTTATCCCCTTACGTCTTTGTATTATTATCGCCTCTTATTATCGCCTTGGTTGGGGTGAACTGATTAAAAAATTAATTACTACTGTAACTAGTTGTACCAGACATGTCCTTGTACCAAACTTAGGTAAGTTTAGCAAATATCGACATTAGTAACAATTCTATAGAAAGATAATTTGATCGATAAGGCAAGACCTATGGATATAGGTATACTTGATTCAGTACAAATTTTAAAGTCGTTACATTAATTCTTTTAATCTGATATACATACAATGATAATGATGAAAAGAACTGTTGAATATTAGAGAAAGTGTGAGAAAGTTCAAGAGAAATGCATACACGTACGAATTTTTAGTAGAAAGTGAGATGCTATAATCGAGTTGGACTGAATAGCAGAGTCGTAAAGATCAACCATGACTTCCATACTATTAATGTGGAATAAGCGAGCGAGAAGTTGCGTGCTGAAAAACGAATAAACCAGGAAAGACGTTTACAGTTATAAATAAATCAGCCGAGAATAGATGAAGAGATATAAAATGCGGACATTAGGGAAGAAATATGAAATTGAGGAAACGACTTTACGTTCAAATGTGCAATGAGTAGTATGTTCTAACTGCATTCATACAAAAAGCCTGGTGAGTTGCAGCAGTCAGATTTACTTAACACCTCGTAGCACCTGCATACTCTTAGGTTCCAGATCTTCGAGTTACCCCAAAATTTTACTTGCTGTCTTCCACAAAAACATGTCATGAGTAAGGACTTTACGCTTCGATTTTTCTGACTTTAGTACTCGATTTTCTCTTATATATTTTCTGTTATAGCATAAAACTTTCTTAACAGGTCATATATTTAGATATATTGATATATAATAAGCTTAGTTTAGTCCGACTCAAGGCCACATCCGATCAGGGTCAAATTTACTTTAGCATTAATAATGAATGAGACTAATATGCTAATCATTACTTCACGGCAAGGTTCTGATTCGTCAGTTGCAAATGAATAGAAAGAGAGCATACGCTGCTGTCAGAGAATCAAAAAATGGATTCGGTAAATCCCGTTCTATCCACTATCTAGTGATGACACGCTTCAAATGTAGATAGACAAGTGGTAGAGAAAACGACGTTGGGAAGTTTCTCTCATTAAAATCCAACCGATTTTAGTCAACATGAAGTTTGGTGTTATAGTCGGTTATTAGGAAACATTTACAAGTGTAAAAAAACAAGACCCTAAACCAAAAGCAATAAAAATATGCC